CCAGATAGCGATTGGATTTATTTTACCTTTTCAGATTTTTGAATTTATCTTTTTAAATAATGGCAAATTTTTAGAATAGTGTCTAGTTTGGCTATTCTTTTATAATCAAAATAATTTTATAAAAACTAGTGGCGCCCTCTCTTTACTGTACCAACACCAAGGACCACCCCAAGCTAAAGAACCACTGAGCATAGTCGAGCACGATTATGAGCATTTTTTTGTTTCGACAAAAGAGCGTTACAAATTTGAACTCAAAGGTGTCAATAATGATCACTATAAAAGATCCCATAACACAGGAGATCCTGTAAATGGCTGAAAACTTTGCTCAACAGTTCAACCCAGTTTTTATCCATCAAGATTTTCGCCTAGCACCACATACACAATTGGGAACTTGATAAATAGTATAGATCTCACAGAAGAAAAGGTTACAGAAGCATTATTGAAGATGAAGAAAAATTCAAGTCCTGGACCCGATGAAATTCTTACAGTAGGTACTAGGTACTAATTCAAAACTATAGAGAAACAGTTGGTGGTCGACTCACAGAGGTGATGCAGGAGTGCATGGAGCTTGGAAGAATCCTGGAAAAATGGAACTTTTCCATAGTAAACTTTATACAGAAAGGCAACAGACACAAACCAGGAAACTATCAACTCACATGCAACAATGCATGGAAAAAATTATTGTACAGCAGCTCTCACTTCAGCATTTTTCTATGAAAATAACCTGATACCCCCATCACAACACGAATTCCTTGCAATAATCTACTACAACGAACTTGCTCGAATGCCTTGATGATTGGACGAAAGAGTATATATATAGTGGTCAGCCAACAGATATAATTATTTACCGCGATTATGAAAAAGCCTTTGATAAAGTTCCTCATAATCTTTTGCTGGAAAAGTTGGAGCATTATGGAGTAAGTGGACAGCTGCTAGAATTGATAACGGATTTGTTATATGAAAGGTATTATCAGGTACGAGTCAATGGTTCGTTGTAGGATAAACTTCGAATTAGTAGTGGCGTTTTTCAGGGGCCTGTAGTAGGACCCAGGGGCGGATGGGCCAGCAGGGATTTTGGGATGTTTCCCGAAGGGCCGCTTGCGGTCAAAGCATATATATAATATGGAAAAATAAAATTTTTCATATTTAAAAACTATTTTTTATCAAGAAATTCAGTCATACTCTTTTACTGGGAAATAAAATAATATTTAAGGCATTTTTCTGCTAGCCCCTAGTGATAACACAAGGTAAGCGCGCATTTCTACGTATCGGTCGCAACGAAAGCATTTATCCTCTGCTGCTTCTAGGCCCGGCCTTAAGGTCTAGGTGGCCGGTTTTACCACTAGGCAGCCGCCTAGGGCCGGGACGCTCAATGGGGCCCGAAATTCATTTTGAAATCAAATATCTTTTGGCAACCTCGCACCCAACTCAGGTAGAGTCCATCTTAGATTGTCCATACCCAATCTAATGTCATGTTACTGATTATCATCCGTTAAAAGAGTACCTATCTATAATAGATAATGAATATGAGATGGTCAGCTACCCAGACAGCAGACAGCACACAAAGTCTTAAACACATCTTTTTTAGGTCTATATAACGACTGAACATCTGAAAATAAAAAAACAACGCCTGTCGTAAATTCATATCTTATCGTGATAGCTAGTTGGTTCAACCAAGCTTGAAAGTGAATAATGGTTTATGTATTGAAAAAAGAATCAAAGATGTCTTCAAGACATCTCGTTGAAGAAGTCTTTAGAATGTCTTAGTCCTAAAGACGTCTTTAGGTAGATCCTTGAAAGATGTTGGGTTTTGTAACATTACGTCTGCAAAATGTCTTTGAGACGCCTGATAGACGGAAGCAAGACGTCTTGAATGTCATTTGTGGACATCTTAGGAATGTCTTTAAGATGTCTAGAAAAATTTCTTTGGGCTGCAAGGCTCTCTCATACCTACTGCCGCCCGAGGCGCTCGTGCCGCCTAGGGCCAGCGCCGCTTTAAACATTAGGCGGACTAGGCGGCCGCCTAGGGCCCGGGCGCTCAATGGGGCCCAAAATTCACTCTGAAATCAAATATCTTATTTTGGCAACCTTGCGCCCTGAGACGCCTCACACGACCCGAATTACGCACACTATTTTTTTTTTTTTTTGTTTTCTAGTCAGAAACCACCACTGTGGTTTGTCGACAAAGCCTCGAACATCACATACAAACCAAATCAAACAAACAAACAAACAAACAAACAAACAAACATCCATGCACCTAGCCGGGATTCGAACCCGAGACCCACTGCATGCAAAGCGAAGACACAACCGCTGAGATCCTTGGGCCTGCAACACTGTTCTGTAGCTGTGGGATTCCCAACTCAGGTAGAGTCCATCCAACCTTATGTCATGTTGCTGATGAACATCCGTTAAACGAGTAATAGATGAAAGATACGAGATGTTCCACTACCCAGACAGCACACAAACTCTTGAAGATGTTTTTTCTAGGATCTGTAGTACGACTTTTACGTCTGAACGTCTGAAGACCAAAAAAAGACGCCTAGAAGACGTTGTTTTGAAGATGTCCATATAAAATGTCGTAAATTCATATATTTCTCTTCTTCAAGCCTAAAAGTGCATAATCATTTATGTATTGAAAAGAGATTCAAAAACGTCTTTGCGACATCTCTTTGAAGATTTGAAGTAGTCTTTGGAATGTCTTATAGTGCTGAAGACATCTCTAGGCAGATCTCTGGAAGACGTTGGGTTTTGTTACATTAGGACGTCTTCAAGATGTCTTTGAGACGTAGGCAAGAAGTCTTGAATGACGTTTATGGACATCTTAGGGACGACTTTGGAAAAATTTCCCACAGAATTCATTCCTCATTTAATTAATAAGTTACTGGAAAACATTTAAAATGCTACAGAACACTTTAGAACTTTAATAGACCTTTTGGAAAGTTCCTAACATTTAAAATTAAATTCAGATTTTCCAAAAGCATTCTGTAGCGCTTCAGAAAATTTTGGAAATTTCAGAACCATTTTAGAATGCCCCAAAACATTCGAACACCGATTTCCAAAATCATTTTAGAACAACTCAGAAGGTTGAAACCCATTTTAGAACGCTCCAAAACACTCAAACTCAGACACTCTGGAATCCCCAGGAATATTTTGAAAAGCGCCAGAATCTTAGGATTCAGTTTAAAAATTACAAAACGCCTTTCATAAGGATTTTTAGAGCAAATTTTGATTGCTGTAGAACTTTAGAACTCCTTAAAGGCATTTAAAACAGTTCAAATCTAAATCAGAATTTTCAGGAGTATTTTGGAGCAATTGAGAAACTTCAGAGTTATTTTAGAACAATTTCAAAGTTCTAAATTGAATCCTAATTTAGAACTGGAAACCTTTTAGAACTGTTTTGAACCAATTTAGAACTTTTTGGAGCTTCGATAGGGCTCTAAAATACTTAAAAATCTGTCAGAACAATTTAGAAATTACTGAAAAACTTCTAGAATGCTCCAGAACTCTTCAAGCCAAGTTAGAACACTTTAGAACTGCAAAAAACCATTTAGAACGTTCCAAAACAGTTTCCAGCAGCATTTTGAAAGGCTTTTTTTTTTAAATTTGGACAAAAACAGTAAAAAGTTACTTTGGGCTAAGGCCCCATATCTTCTGGCGCCTAGGGCCCGGTAGAGCCTTGAACCGGCGCTACCTAGGGCCCGGTAGAACCTTGAACCGTCGCTGAGTTTGAGCTTTTTTCTTCATAATTTCAATGTTAGTAGTGAGTACCTATTCATATTACGTACCTCACCTCATCATTTACCATTAGATAGGTACCTACTTAAAAAAACTTAGATTTAGAAAAATTGTTTTAAGCTCCAACAGAAAAAATACTGATCGCAGGCCAGGGCCGGTACCAACGGTTTCCCGGGCCGGTTTTATGCTCCCCATCCGCCCCTGGTAGGACCATTGCTTTTTATATAATAACTTTTCGATTATGTCAATCTCATAGAAACATCAATGAAGAACTTTGCAGATGATGAGAAACTTTATGTAAATCCATATATATGCAGCGCAACTTCAAACAGACCTGCGAACTGTTGAGGAGTGATCAAGGCATGGGGGATGAAATTGAATGAAGCCAAATGCGCCGTTTTCAGGATGGGCCAAAACAATTCAAATATTGAGTACATGCTAAATAACCAACTTCTTTCAACATTACTAGAGCAAAATGATCCTGGAGTTACGATGACTTCGAATCTTGAATGGGAAAGTCACATCATCAGAATTGTCAAGAAAGCGAACTCAATAATCTATTTCATGGAACATGCTTTTAAGCACCAACTGGTAGAGATGGTTCACAAAACTTTAAAAAAGCTCCATTAGGACTAAATTGAAATATGCTTTAGCAGTGTGGAACCCCTACCATATCCAAGATATAGGGATGTTGGAAAAAGTTCAAAGAAGGGATACTAAAATTCCACTAGAGTTACATGCTTTGGACTATCCCGAGAGATTGAAGAGATGTAAAACAATTTTAGGAGAAAGACGGCACTGGGGCGATTTGATCGAAACTTACAAAATAACAAGTGGCTATTACAACTGCAACATATTCACAATCTTTCGCCACAACCAGAATCAACAACTTCGAGGGCACTCAAGAAAACTAGAAAAGGAAAAAGCTGCAATTGGTACGACAAATTTTGGTATCATATTTCGTTCGCCCTTGATATTCTCCATTTTCGGATGATTGGGCAGATTCTACGTCCCTACACCCTATACTGTTGGATTTTTATTCATAAATATCGATTGGTATTGGAAAAAGAACAATAATTCCAATTCTCTATTGATATCCAGCCAGCCAGCAAAGTGTTACTTTCTTCACTAGTGTTTCAACAGAGAATGATATTGCGAAATTTTCCCCCCAAAGAGTTTGTTGCCTGAAACTCATCCTATTTGCTTGACATAACATGTCGAGTTTTGTTCCATTTAAATCAGAAATTATTAATAAAAATCCTTACCGTCTCCCCAATATTGATTGCCAGGGCTCTCTCCAATCCATCCCTGAGATTCAGTAAGATTTCCATTACTAGGACTAGAACTAATAAAGATAGCCTCATTTCTAGTAATCCTGTTGAATTCCTTGCGTATAGTGTTAATGTAAAGGTCCACATAATCTAACTTGTACTGGGTGAAATTGTCTTGAGTTCCATACCAATTATCAACCAATACTCCTTCATTTTCATTGTTTCCTGAGTAAACCACGATACTGGGATGGTAGTGAAGACGTTTAATGTTGTGGTCGACTTCCGCAAGGACATTATTCAAAAACTTTTCAGTTGCTGGATACAAGGAGCACGCAAACATAAAATCTTGCCAGATCATTATTCCTAATCTGTCAGCTACTTCGTAAAAGTAATCGGACTCGTAAACACCTCCACCCCATACACGGAGCATATTCATATTGACATCTTTGGCACTTTGCAGAAGGTAGTCAATTGTGTCTCTATCCTGACCCAATTCTGGTAAGATATTGATAGGAATTTCATTGGAACCTTTGGCAAATATTACTTGTCCATTTACTTTGAAGTAGAAGGTTGCACCAGTGGCTATTGTTTATGGAAAAATAAATTAATTAAAATGTATGACTAACCAAGGTGAATAGTTACCGAGTGGCTCTTGTACTAACTCTACTGTCCTAAATCCAATCAATTTATTGTCACTGATAATGTCTTCATTATTTTCACCACTAGCAAAAATTACTTCAAGTTTGTAAAGTGGTTGGTCACCGTAACCGTTTGGCCACCACTCTTTGATTAAAGTTTTATTGATAAGGTCAATTTGAGCGTGAGTGGCCAATTCTCCATTCTCATTCACTGTAGCCTTGACATTAAAGGTCTTACTTATCACTGAGGATGTATCGATATAGAGTTTTAGTCTGTAAAAAGTCAATGTTTAATGCAATTTGAGGAAAATATATAAATAGCTCTTGACATCATTATCAAAATACTTACGTTAATTCTCCCTGTATGTAGCCACGTTGATTATTTTCAAAATAAACATCCGTATAGATATTCCAACTTTTTCCACTGTCTACTACACGATGAACAACATGTTGGAAAGCAGCTTCATCGAAGGCTTGAATATAAACGGGTTTCCATAGACCCATCGAAGGGAAAGACGGACCCCAATCCCATGAAAACGACGCTTGCATCTTTCTGAGCATGTTAATGTGGCATTCTCCTTGGTAAGCGTCTGGAGGACATTCCCAGGGAATTCTGTATTTGTCCAATTGATCGTAGTTGAGGGCCAGACCCATTTCCACGGGGTTTGCGAAGAAAATTTTGATTGTGTTATTGCCTTGAGCCTAACAATCAATAATATCACTAAAATTTTATTTTTCTTCAATGTTAAATTATAGGTACCTTAAGAAAATTTTTGACATCATAAACGTATCTGACAAACATATTTTGTGTCTCTCCAATGACTACTCCGTTTAATTCTATGCTAGCAAAAGTGTCTACACCTTCAAAGACTAAGTTAACGGTGTCATAGTCCATAAGGCCTTTCTCAACTGAAAAACATAAGGTAATAAAGATGTTTTATGTTTGATTTCGATCAGTTCACCTTCAAAATTTAGAATGTACGTCCAATTGATGTTGCCCACCCATCTAGTCCTGCTGTCGTTAAATCCATAAAAAATGTCCCCAATCATGTCTAATTTCATTAAGTCGGTATAAATACCTCCTGGGACTGAAGCTGGAAACTCATAGTCTACAATAGTTAAAATTCGATTACTTTTTAGGAATTAGGCCTCTAACTGTTACAGTGTTTCAATTTTATTTCTAGAAAAAATATAAATAAAATATTTGATGAAATAATACAAATTTTGGGATTGCTCTGAAATAAAATTTACATTTTATGGAAAAGTGTTATTTTGTTTGCTTATTTCTATATTCTAAAGTACCTAAAGTTCGTTTCACCAGGGTTCATACTTGACCTTGAAACTTGAAAAAAAAGGGTTGTCGTAGATTAATTCATATGACACATTCAATTTTTTTGACAAATTGAAATTAATGACTTCTCTTTTAAGAACCGACAAAGGTTTTTGACGTCATTGATTTGTTTCAGTCAATTTTTATTTGTTAAATAAGGAAGGCAAATGCTGGTGGCAAGTACAAACCCTGGCGAAACAAACTTTACCTACTTGATCCTTGCGGTGATGCAACAAAAAAATTAAGATAAAAAAAACACTTATAAATTTTTTAAAGTGTTTTCAAATACTTGAGATATTGAAGGGAATCAGAGAAAATTTCACTGAAAAGGTTCAAAAAACAAACAAAAAAAGTTTTAGCTGAACTATAAAGTAATTAAGTACAACCTGTTTTCAATCACGGTTTCAATTAAACTCATTTTTCAAGTGATAAATAAAGACTGTAAAAAGTTTCAGTGAAAAGATTATATGATTATGAGATGATTATATACTTACAATGCTCAGTCTCTTTAGCAGCCCATGTCCCATCTAAACTCTGTGTCACAGCAGCTTTTCCATGGCACCCAGCCACAAGCAAGGCAAAACTTGCCAAAAGTCTTAACATTATTTGGGTATCCCTTGTTGGAGCCCAAGCTAATCACTGAATATATTCAATAAACTTTACTTACTTTTCATATATTACGACTCATAATATACAATCGGCGGATTATTTAATCTTCAAGTGTTTTTTTTTTTTAAATAACATCAATAATGGCTTTGTTCCAATACAGCAAGAAACTGTACAATTTACCATCACGATTCTGCGCAAAACCTAAAATTTGTGTGTAGAATTGAAAATTCGTATACAGAGTGGTTTTGCAACCGTCCGTTTTCCATGTGTTGGAACAGTCCTATATTACATTACATATTTATTGAGAGTATGCTCGATTATTCCCAAAATTGGAAAAAAAAAACACTTGCGGATTAAATTACCCGCTAAATGGATAAGGGATAAGGATCTTGATAAAATGTGAAAATATATCCTATTCACAATCCGTAGTCTAAAGGTAAATTTATCACCTTTCCTTATCAAAATGACCCCGCAATATTTAAATGGAAATTGGTTACCCGTGATATTTGGATGAAATTTAAATATGTTGTTGGGGATGCCGTAAGCACCATTTTTTACCATGGGCACAACCCTGTATATATGACAGGTGAGGCGTGGTTAGCTGTCAAATATTGGAAACTTATATCCAAAAGCAGAGTGACTATGGCAGATTTTGATAAACGAAGTATCGATGTCTACTAAGTCGACCATGTTAAGTCGAAAAATTTCAACGATTTTGACACCTGTCAAAACCCTGCCAAACAGCAGCACTCATCTTTTCCCGCTCTCAATATTTTATGATGTCATTTGACATTTTAAACTTGTATGTGAATTCTGAATTCAAAAATTGGAAAAAAAATGACAGAACTGTCAAAACCTGTCATTTGTTTTAGTAGAAAAAAATACTCTAATCTAGTTCTTTTTAACACGCTTATATTAGCTTCACCTGTATGTATGTATGTTTGTATGTATGTATGTTTGTATGTATGTATGTATGTTTGTATGTATGTATGTTTGTAAGTAACATTGAAAATGTTTATCGCACGGGCACATATAGTCCAGGAGCTGGCGTCGAAAATGTGCAAGAGTTTTCGCAAGGCTCATATTTTCAGAATGAGTAGCATTTTAGTGCTACAAAGCTAGGCTACAGTCAGCAGTTCCAGTTCCGGGACACCTGGCGCTGAGATACGCGCAAAGGTGTATTTTTAATCAATACCTCGCAACAGTTTTCGCAAAGCTGAAAATTTGCAAAGAGCATGCGAATATAATGTAGAACCATATTTTAACAGTCAGACAAAGAAATACGGGGACACGTAGAGTCAGCGCGCGACTTTGAAGTGGTCAAAAAAATGACGTCACCGAAAGTGTTTTCGCATGGCTGAAATTTGGCAAGGTAATAGTAAAAACAATATATTTATTGAAAAAAACAGTCAGACACTTCTATGTCGGGACCCCGCCAGTCAGCAGTCGATTAAAGTGATATAGGTGGTAGCGCGCGTCAATAGGCATATATCCATGTCGAATAATAATTTCACCAAAAGTGTTTTCGCATAGCTGAAATTTGGCAAGGTAATAGTAAAAACAATATATTTATTGAAAAAAACAGTCAGACACTTCTATGTCGGGACTTCCTCAGTCAGCAGTCGATTAAAGTGATATAGGTGGTAGCGCGCGTCAATAGAATTTTACTATAGAATATAAGTATTTAATGAAACTACAATAAATATAATTAAAACTGAATTTATTTAATTACTATATACTATCACAGTACTGCTGATTAAATGGTCAAGTAATATTTATAATACGAATCGGGCTTTTTTCTAACCGCAAACTTTTTAATATTTTTAACTGCATGTACAATTTTATTTTACCGTTTCCGATTACAAATAATTTAAATTATAAAAATAAAATTATTCATCGAAATGGATATATATAAACCCTTTTCACGTGGCTCCGGTCAAAGAATATTATAGACTAACGTCTCTAGAAGACCCGTCCGCTAGCGAAAATATAAACCCGCGTGATGGCGCTGGTGTCCTAGTAAAATCCGTCGTTTCTGCGATTAAATTAATTTGAGGTACCAAATGCACGCGTATTTGCTAGGCTGCGTTGCCAAGTTGTATTTTGTATAACAAATTAAATGCCTGTGTTTTATATAGGAACTTATTATACATATACCTACCATAGAATAGGAATATTATTATAATTATTATTATGTATTATTATTATAATTAAAAACAAAATAATAAATAGGTAAATAGTTATGTATTTTTGTGGGTAATAATTTTCTGTTACTAATAAGTAGAGGTATAAAACACAACGGATTTTGCTGAAATTTAGCATACTTTTCAAGTTCAGGTGATTAGGTGATAATACATTTTAACCACTAATGAAAGGTGAAATTGTCAAATGCGACAGGTGCAGATTTTTGAACCATTATTTCGCAACGGATTTTGCTGAAATTTTGCATGCACTTTAAGTTCGGGTGATTATACATTTTAGACCACTAATAACAGATGTCAACTGTCAAATGTGACAGATGTAGATTTGTGAACCATTTCTTCGCAACAGATTTTGCTGAAATTTTGCATACACTTTAAGTTCGGGTGATAATACAATTTGGAATACTCAACAGCTGTCGAATTTAATTTTTGACAGCTGTCAAACTATGACAGGTCGAGAGGTGGGCAGGTTGTCAGCATTACCCCCGTCTTTAAAAATTTGCTTTTTTCGACAAATAGACAAATTTCAAAAATAAATAACCCATAATTTTGCACACCGATTTTCAAAATTTGCACACTCTTTTGGAGAAAGTTATATCGTATCAAAAATTTGCATAACCACCTCCCATTTTTTAAAAAATTGATAGACCCCTATGCTACTCGTTTCATTTAATTTTGGACAATTTTGCACACGTATATGCAAATTTTGCACACTTTTCTGAGAAAAGTTATGAGCTGTGATAAATGTGCACTTTTTTCCCCGTTTTTCTGAAACTTGAAAAATTCTTATGCTACTCGCTACGGCTAATTTTGCACTCGCTTCCAGGGAAAGTTGATGGGTATCAAAAATTAACATTTTCACCCTCGTTACTCAAAAAATTTAAATTTTTTTCAGCTATTCGGTTCCCCTTAAGCGGGACACACTGTATATTTCAACTGATTTTAAATGATTCGTTGGATTATTATTTCCTTTCCTTCCTTCCTTTCCGTATGACCCATCCAAATGACTATAATCTTTATTTTGCTAATATAGCAGCCCAAATTGTTAGTAACTTACCTACAGCTATAAATACTCCACAATATTATGTAAACAATTTTATCAAAAAAATTGGTATATCCGACACAGTTTTCAATTTCACTCCCATATCAATTAATGAAGTTAGAGACATAGTAAAACAATTAAAAAACAAAAAAAGCAAGGATATTTATGGAATGAACTCTAAAATAATAAAATCACTTGTTAATATTATTATCTATCCTCTTACGAAGCTGTTAAATTTGTGTATAAGAGATGCAGTCTTTCCATCAGTTCTAAAAATCTCCAGGGTTGTGCCAATATATAAAAAAGGTGATATGGAAGATTTGAGTAATTACCGTCCTATATCAATTGTCCCAGTTTTCTCCAAGATTTTCGAAAAGGCACTCAAAAATAGAATAACAAATTATTTTGAGAGTCAGAATTTATTTAGTTCTAAGCAGTTTGGCTTCAGGAGTGGAAAGTCTACTACTAGTGCTATCAATTTGTTCATAGAAAGGGTTAATGAGGGGATTGAAAATGGGGAATATAGTGGGGCTCTGTTCTGTGATTTAAGCAAAGCCTTCGACTGTGTCTCCTCTGATCTCCTTCTGATAAAATTGCTACAATACAGATTTGCACCTGAAAGTATAGGCTTATTAGAGTCGTATCTTACAGGAAGGTCGCAAGTAGTAAGCGTAGCGGATAAAAGCTCATCCTCTATCAAACTAGAATATGGTGTTCCTCAAGGGTCAGTGCTGGGACCACTGCTCTTCCTGATCTACATAAATGATTTGGAGGGGTGTGATCCCAGTTCTGACCTGATATTGTTCGCTGATGATACGACTCTGATTAGAAGGGCCAGGAATTTTGAAACACTCAGGCGGAGTCTAGAGGAGACACAGTTGAGGGTTACTGATTGGTTCTCAGCGAATAAATTGAGTATGAATGAATCAAAAAATAGCACCCTAGTAATATCCACGAGGGAATTTGAATTGCTACATAATGAGCCAGTTACGTTCCTGGGGGTGAGTATTGACGCAAAGTTGACATGGATTCCACATGTCAATAACATATGTGCCAAAGTGGCGTCAGGAGTCTATGCACTCAGAACAATGATGGAGAGTGTTTCCGAGCAAGCAGCACGGGCCATCTTTTTTGCTTGTGTCCAGTCAAAAATATCATATGGAATTCTGGTCTGGGGCAAAGAGTCTTTGCACTTCAGAGGAGGGCGATTCGAATATTGTGTCATAGAACTTATCGAGCGGAGTGTAGGAATGACTTTGTGAAATCAAAGATATTAACAGTGCCTTCCTTATATGTCTATCATTGTCTGATTCATGTTAGGTGTAATGTCAATGATTACCAGACCCATGAGGACATACACCAACATCTCACCAGGAATAGGGACAACCTCTATACAAACTTTCATAGAATACATAAAATAAAAACAGGAATTTCCTTCTATGGCCCCAAATTCTATAATGTGTTACCAACCTCCATTAGAATGCTAAATTTGAATTGTTTCAAAAATAAAATTAAAAATTATTTAAATAAGAAAGCTTTTTTTAGTATAGAGGAATATACCACCAATAATTTTAATGATTTAGAGGATTGTTAGTTAGTAATATTGTTCGTAAAGGTTCCTGAAAATTGCCACTACTATATATTTGACTTGTGTAAACTTTGTGAAGTAATGCACCAATAAATGATTTGATTTGATTTGATTTGATATGTTTACATCACATGAATAGGTATATCATGATGTACCAATACACTGACTTTTTTTACCTAGTTTATCATCATATATATACAGACCGGACCATCCTACTAGACACATAGGGAGTATTAAGACGAATTAGCTTGTACCCGGTTAA